TCAGGTTAGAGACGGAAAAGTCTACAAGACACTCCACACTTCGGGCATCGGCAATTCTCTTGGTATCGTGGCCCAGGAGAGTGCCTTTGGGCTCATAAGGGTGCTGCTTGGGGTCCTTCCGACAGGCTCCTGCGAAACATGCGTCCTGGCAATGTGGGCACGACCAGTTAGCGTCCTCCATAACTGTGAGTGGCATCATATCGGCTCCTCTGAATAGCGACCCATAGCACCACCACTTGTCGCAGGTAGTACACTTTGCAGATTTCCAATTTGGATGTCTTTTACAACAGACGTGGCAGGGACTGTGGGTCTTGTACCAAGCCTTGGGCTTCTTCTTCACTGTCTTCTTGACGCGGCCTTCGTCGTCGACAATGATGTCCTCTTCGCTCTGCTCGTCGTCTTGCTTCGGCTTGGCGATGTCAGTGAAGGGGCGGCGCTTGAGCTGCTCTCTGCAGACTTCGGCCAGCGTCTTGTGAGGGAGGTTCCTTCGAGCTTCGACCAATGGCGGAGGGGCTTTTGCTGCATTGCCGCCGTCCAGGTCGATGATTTGCTTACGCCAAGCGTCGTATTTACCGCTCAACTCTCTCCACTTGAACTGTTCTGTGAATTTCAGGTTAGAAATGCAGCCGCACGATCTGCCCATGGCGTAGCAATCTAAGCACACGTCGTAGGGCTCTTCTTCTTCATGGCCAAGCGCATCCTTGCAGTTTGAGCACGTCAAGAAGCGATTGAAGATATTGCATCGACAGTAGGCGCATGTGACGTTGCTGTCGAAGGGCAAGAATTCGCACTTTTCCTGAGGACCATCAGGATTGAACATCTCAGAAACAAGGACATCCAGGAACAAGCCGAGAAGGCGCCTGAAGTCTTTGACCAGTTGTTTGATTTTGGGACTGCCCATCAGCTGACGAGCGGCGTCGGCGGGAAGCTTGTCGGACTGCGATCTTGCCAATGCGAGTCTGTTAGAATACAGCATCAGCGTGTAGTAGATGATAGCCTTGGTCTTGTACTGTTCGTCTCGGCAGACGATCTTTGCTTTTGGTAGAGCCTCATCTATGGCCATTTCCAGAGTCTCAAGTGTGGTCCTGTTCCAAGCAACTTTCATGGTTCGTGTTCCTCTGTTCCATACTTGGTGGGGAGCTAGAGGAGGGATCAGGATGAAGTCACCGGGACGTTGTTCGACGACGTAGACGTTGAAAGGGGCTCTTTTCCAGGCCGAGACTTGAGCAAAATGATTCTCGACTTCGATGTCGTGGCCCAGTGTCGAGAGCCAGTACTCAGAGACGGTGTTGCGATCCTTGGACTCGGTCATAAACCAGATGGAAGAACCGGGTCTTTCAGGCTTGCCATCCTCACCAACATCCTTGGAAGCTTCGACCATGATGTTGTGACCCATGGTGGCGCACATTTCTCGGTGTGACGGTGTGTAAGTGCCCTCGTGGCCGATGTAGCACATGAGGTTCTCGGCGCGCATCTCGGGAGGAAGCGAACTCATCAGATCACCAGCACGAGCGATTCCACGGGCAGGACGCCTGCCGGGACCAAGGGTATAAGGGTTGGCACCAGGGCCGCCGATGTCTCCGGTGCTCTCATTAAGGTAGAAGAGGAAGGGCGGGATGTGGTCTTGGAGTTTGTCATGCCAGACTTGGGGGCAGTCGATGTCCTTCAGATAGATCCTTTGACGGCTCTTGTCCTTGTAGTTGCGCGTGTTTTCAAAGAATTGATTGCTCAGTTTGTTCATGTTTCTCAGATAATGGCCGATGGTGAGAGGAAGGGACTCCTTGGTCGACAGGTTCTTCGAGCTCTCGACTNNGGAATGCATGTCAGGGAGGGAAGGGCAGAGACGAGTGGGGCCAGACTCACTCTTGGAACCGACATTGTCATTCAGCCATTTGGAAGAAAAGGTCCACGGGTCCAGGCGGTTCTCAAAGCCGTCGACGACGAGGGGCTTGCCGCCAATGATGACATGGAGGAGGACGAGCTTCTCGAAGGCGGCGACACCTTGCTCGTCGATCTGGGCGACCGAGATGCGATCAACAAAGGAGAAGTTGGGCGTGGATTCTATGAGGCCGTTGATGTCGAAATCGGGCGCGATCGCTTCGAAAGCCGCACGCGGNTGCTGCGCGGGCATTCTGTGTATGGGTTATGTGGTGTGGCGCGCACTCCAGCACGCCAGCGAGGACATGCGCAACACTCGCGCGACTAGCGTACGCGTGTCGAGCACGGTAAAGGGCAGGTAGGCGTATGAGAGCTTGCGAGTATCAAGTCGCAACGGAAGCTGCGACTTGATACTCCGAGCGGACGCGTCGTCGGGGCAGCTCGAGCCGATCGGCCAGGCACGAGCACGGTTCACGAGCCTAACGTACTCGTTTTATCCCACTCTTCCTACTTGCACGCTCTTGCTACGCATATCGCATTTCAGTCTTGTCCTCACCTGTCAGCATGTACTGATTGTCCTCGATACTCACTCGGGCTTGAACTTCCTCCAGTAGGTGCCAATGCTCTTGTCAATCCTCACTTGACTCTGTATGTTGAGCTAGGTTCTTAGTTTTCGTTGTCCTTCTCCTGTCCAAGTCATGTTGTCTCCTCGGATATCGGCCTCTATAGGTCGCAGATGCCTCATCAATCCTTTGAGGACACCACCCTCGACTTCTTNNTTTTTCTATACTTGCCGCCCAGCTTTTGCTTCTTCGAGACGACCGAACTCTCTCACCCACAATACCCGTCATGTCACAGCCTATTCAAACATCGCCTCTACAACCACGCCGCTGCCGCCCAAATCTACTGATCACAGCGCCTCAATACTCCAGCATGAGGCTGGCGTGGCTCAAGATTCGTCCGCAATTCCCTACGAGCCTCCCAAGTCGGGCTTCTTGTCCTATCTGCCTGCCTCGTTTGTACCCTATGCCGAGCTGATCCGCATCGACAAGCCGGTAGGCACTTATTACTTACTGTTTCCCTGTATCTTCAGCACCCTTCTTGCCGCTCCGCTGGCATCACCCATCACCGCCCCCTCAACAGTCCTGGCCACCACTGCTCTCTTTGCTACTGGCGCACTGGTCATGCGTGGCGCAGGCTGCACCATCAATGATCTCTGGGATCGGAATCTGGATCCGAGAGTTGCCCGTACCCGATTGAGGCCTATCGCACGTGGTGCCATCTCTCCAGAGGCTGCCATCATCTATACTGGCTGCCAACTCCTGACTGGTTTGGCTGTGCTACTGCAGTTTCCTTTTGAATGCTTCTTCTACGCTACGCCTTCATTGCTCTTGGTATCGACATATCCTCTGGCAAAGCGTGTTACCAACTACCCACAAGCCGTTTTGGGGCTCACCTTCTCTTGGGGCGCCATCATGGGCTTCCCTGCTTTGGGTGTCGACCTTTTGTCCAACCATGCCGCACTCACTGCTGCAGCTTGTCTGTACTCTTCCAATATTGCATGGACTATTCTTTATGACATGATTTACGCGCACCAAGATATTAAGGATGATGCAAAGGCCGGCATCAAATCAATTGCTCTTCGTCATGAAAAGAATACCAAGGCAGTGCTCAGTGGTCTGGCGGTCGTTCATACTACTCTGCTTGCCGCTGCTGGATTTGCAATCGGAGCCGGACCCATCTTCTATGTTGGCACTTGTGGAGGCGCTTTGTTCACAACTGCGAACATGATCTGGAGAGTGCGTTTGAGCAGCGTAAAGAATTGTTGGTGGTGGTTCAGGAGTGGATGCTGGATGACTGGTGGTGCGATCACTCTGGGCCTTACTGGAGAGTACCTTGCACGTTACCTCGGATGGTACGAAGATGAGTCCCGTTGAACCTCTGGCACTGCAGTCAGCACATGTATGTATATGTACGATATGATTTTTAGCCCTGCCGTTGAACGCACCCCACTTAATGTCAAGATGTCACCGTGTGGATAGAGACTTTTTCTGAATCAGTGTCAGAAAATTTCAATCTATCAACACGGCCAAAATGTGATGAACAACATGTCCTCCTCGCGGCACCGAACTCGTGGGTTGCAGGAGTGGGGTCTCGGCCGTGCCGATCATCTGCACAGATTCGAAAGGTCGCAGTTCATGGCTTCACACTTTCCGAGTCTCTCTCACGTCTCCCCAACGCCATCCGTTACACGACATGCGGCACAAGTGCAAATTTGACAAAGCGGTTCAGCAAGTCTCGGATCTGGTCGTTGCAGGATTGTTATCTTCTGTCCATCGCTTCTGGACTATGTGATGCTTCGATGGACGTTGCGAGACGAGCACTTTATCGAAATGGCATGTGGCCAACGTACTCCTGTAAGTTCAGGTGGTAGTTCGAGTCGCACAACATCAAAACGATGTCCTCGCGTTGGGAAGTCGCTGTCCCGAACGCAGCTTCCATGCGTAATGGCCGAATCGGCCTCGCCCATTGGCTCGCCAAACTGCGATTGCAGAAGTCATTATGCGCCGTCCCGGCCAATGGTGGTGTGAACGCCTTTCTCAAGGATCCAAAAGGTTTCAAAGCCGTCGACATCAGCCCCTACCCACTCATTGTGCATTGATTTCTTGTACAACGCTCTGCCCTAGGCACATTCGAATTCCTACCAAACGGCATGATCTCCCACATCGCCAGCCAGAACATCCTCCGTCATCCTTGACTTACGAAAGAGTCAAGCAGCAGAATATTGAAGCGCATGGTCGCTGTTCGATACTCGGCACAAAAACTAGCTACGCTCAGGCTTCTCACAATATTGTCTTGGTCGGAGGAAGGTCAGATCTGGCTAAAGAACTCCTATCTCTTCAACTGTCCCTTCCTGAATATATCACGACCCTACATGTACTAGATTCGACTGTGGGATCAAGTCGGCCACAGTTACCGGTCGTTTCCTCAGGCCCACTCGGCTTGGTGCCGTCCGCTCATCTGTTTATTCGCTCGTTTTGTCAAGATACGACATCTAATTCATCATCATCGTATTTTTCTTCCAATGTCGCTCTCACGATCGGCTACGCCACACGCAACAGCCGCCATGGCGATACCATCTCGGCTTGTCGATGATGTTGGCGGCTATACACAAGGAGATATGGTACCATGGCACTTCATACCAAGCATCATCGTAGCTTCGTTTTTCGCCAGTTTCAGTGGTACACTGTTGACCATTGAACTACTGCAACGAAAGCGTTTGGGCAAGTCCTTTGTGAGCAGGCAAGTATTATCCTTTTCGGCAATCTCCCATCGCTGACCTCAATTCAGGGTACACCTTTTTGCTTGTTCGGTAAGTATGGGCCTCATTGGTATATGGTGCATGCACTTTATTGGCAATCGATCCATTGCTCTGGCAAACGGCCAGAGTCGGCTACAGCTCGTCTATAATCCTGCATACACCGGACTATCATGTGTTCTACCTGTCATTGGCCTGGCCATAGCTTTTCAGATTGCGGAAGTCAGCATCAGCTCCTTTATCCTGCGCAGACTGCTTGACGTTGCCTGCGGACTCATGGCCGGACTTTCAATCGTCTCCATGCACTATGTTGGCAACCTTGGAGTGTCAAACTATACGCTGATATATCCAAGACGGTATATTGTTGCTGCCTGTATCATCGCTGTTGGCGACTCGACAATCGCCCTTGCGTTGTTCTTCTACTTCAAAGAACGATGGATCAGTGTCTGTTGGAAACGCTGTCTTTGCGCGCTTCTACTTGCAGTTGGAGTATGCGGTATGCACTTTACCGCATCTGTCGGCTGCCAGTATCAGCTCAAGCGTGTTCCATCCGAAGCGGCGCCTGACGCAAGAAATACACCCGTGATTGTGGCCGCTACCATGGTATGTCTCTCACTGACATAAGTTTCGAATATGTGCTGACGTTGAATCAGTNGCTTCGTGGCATCTTTATCATGTCTCCTGATTCTCTTCTACGTTCGATATCGTAATGCAATCCTCGCCAATAGAGCCCAGCATATGATGCTTGCATGGTACCACCAGATTTTCAGCTTGTTGTATTTCTTTGTCACTGACCAACTCCNNAGCGCCTACTTCGACGAGCATGGCAATATCATGGTTACGAATGAGGGGACTTTGCCTTCGCAGAGGATTGCGAAACGTTTTGTGCTTCAAGTAGGTGGGTGTTGACAAGCTCACTATCGCACGGCACTGACTCATGNNCAGAAATTTGACGACCACTTTGGCATACACCATCCCGTCTGGTTCTGGATTTGGAAAGTGAGTTGCGATTGGAAAAGTGTCGTTGATCTGATTCCCAAGATGCGCGCGCACCTTCAAAAGACGAACGTCTACAGTGGTTACAACACAGCGGCATCAAGCAGGAGTAGTATTTACGATGAGGAGAGCTATCACGACTCGACCGTTTTATTTCGAGAAGGATACTGTGTAGCCGCATCGGACCTCGCTGCGCAACTTCAAGTGCCTCTTGTGGACGGGCTAGGTCCTCTTTACGATCAAGTCTTGGGTACAGGTCTTCTGACGGCGTACCAACACGGCATCAAGGCCCTTGATAACGGCGGTGCTCAACAACTAACGATTTTTGAAAAAGGCCAGCTCTTGTTTTACACTCGCAGGTTGTCCCCTCCTGAATTGGACCACTACACTGCAGCTGGATTCAGATTCGCTCCGTTGAATCGTGTGGAAGGTGCAATCGCGAACACGATGCAGATCCCGATTGGTCTTCTCGCAATACAAATGCAGCGCATTCAAGACTTTGCCTACAGAACGAGTTTGCCTTACCCTCCGAAACAAGGCACTTTCTTTGTCTGTCTCGCCGCTCTGGCTCGAGTTCGCGATAGCTTCCGAGTGCTTGTACCGATAGATAGGCAAGACGAATTGCCAGATGTTCAGGTCTCTCCGTACAATATGAACTCGCAGCAGTTGGATTGGCTCAAACGTTACAACGACTGGACGGCAGAGAAGCTCATTTGGCATATCAAGCTGAAAGAGCAGAATTGGAACACATTGGACGACGATGAAGAAAAGGCATTCTTGATCATGCTCCGAACTGCGCTGGCCTCACTGGCCACCAAGATTGGGGAACGTTGGCTCATGGATCTCGTCTTTTGCGCAGAACCAATAACGATACGCTATGGCGCAAACAAGGCACAGAGAGATGGTATGACGATGGTGTTTGGCTTCACTAGATTGGTGGACATTCACCAGCCGGCTCGCAAACTCCCTGCCGGCCTTACACTCGCTAGTTGGGATCTTGTGAGGATGCGACAACACTACTATCCTGGATGCAACGATCAAGGCCGCATCCGGAGAGAAGTTCATACAGAGTTTGGAGCCCTACTTACAAAGCATGAAGAAGTCGTCCGCTCGGAAGGGCAGCGAGTCAGATCTCACAAGTTTGGTCGAACACGTTCGGCCTGCTCAGACGACAGCGGTGTACTTGAGCAAGACTCTTGGTTCGAAGGCAGGCATGTGGAAGTAAGAAGAGGTTCGATCGACTCGATTATTGGACACCCTCAGCCGTGGGGCGGTATCCTCGCGACAACAGACACGGTCATCGAGGGTGTGTCCAAGACAGGGATCGAGTTGCGTAATTTGACTCCTCAGGTAACGGCAGGAGCATCGGCAATGGTGGTCACCAAGGAACCCAAGACTTTTGTGGATTGCCTCTATGAACAGGCAAAGAGTCGTGCGTGTCATGCTGTTTCTTCTTGATGAAGGCGTCTGGGTCTGGAAGTTTAGATAGCTTGATCTTCCTGGGCTGTTCACTATTTCTAAACATGACAACTTGTCTACCTGGGACTCGTATCGATGTACTCTTTTTATCTGAGGTATGTACTCAAATGGTGTGTCACAATGACGTGCGTTACACACTTTTGTGCACACAATGTCACAACGCTTCACACATCGGATAAATTGGTGAGAGTTCGATCAAATAGGACCTACACATCTTAAAGGTCATGATGAAGGAAAGCAAGAGCATCAACAAGATCACCGCAGGGCTTGTTCCAGTCATTGATTAGAGATGTCGAGTGTGATGTGTGCCTCCCTTCACGAACAGGGTTGTCCCCACAGCAGTGATCATAAAAGTGGTTGGAAACAATGCAGTCTCGATTATGGGTTTGCAAAGATGGGAACTATATAGACTGTATTCTGAGACTTCATTACAGCCCTAGAGTATCTACCTAACACGTTGTAATCCCTTGACCAACGCATGTGGTCGAGCCTGAGCCTACAAAGCAATCCCAGCCGGCTCGTGCAGCTGAACCGAGAGACGACGAGAAAGACGATGTATGTATTTAAAGAGGATATTGTCGAACCCGTGTTGCTCGGAATTGTATTCCATCTCTTTTTGCTGTCTTTTCCAATGCCTGCGCATGCCACTCCACGCATCGGTGGCAGGGTTTTCCGCTCAGGATATGTATGGGGTTGATGGTATTCTCGAATTGTATAGCGTGTATGCACAAGGCTGCAGAGAGATGGAGGCCCGATGGAAGAGATACGAATGGATTGCGCAGTGGCGTCGTGCCATGGTCGAGGAGACCGGACTTGATGAGCTGGCAAGATGCACCAGCAGACGCAAAAGGGCGTTATCCAGGGCCAATGCGAGGCATGTCGTGGTGCTCGCTCAAAGTCGACAGGTACTTGTTCAGTTCCTCGACACGTTCCTTGTGTGTCTTGACGCCCTCGCGCATCAGTTTTTCCTCGAGNCTGTGGTCTTGTCGTTAGCAGAGGCCTTTCTGGCGGTGTCCAAGGCCGGGTGAACTTACGCGCTTGCGTCTGGTTTCTTCATGGCGTCTTTCGTATTCCGTCTTGCCGTCGTCGGGCACGAGACTTTCTTCCTTGTTCTTTTCTCTTTGCTCGAGGTCTGTGGTATTCTCAGGCTCGACCGTGTCTTTGGCCGGTGTTGCGTCTTTTGACGACGAGCCAGCGGCGGCGACGGCGGATATTTTGGACGACTTCTTTTGCGCTTCTTTNTCTATGCCGGCGTTTTTGGCACCCTTGAGTTTGAGGCCGCCGCCTGCGGATGTGTATTCTGACGACGGCATGGCTGGCGTGAAGGAAGGTGAGATGGATGGCCGAAGGTGGGGATGCTTTGGCGGGCAGCTTGCTCCTGGCAACGACTGCAATGACGAACACTATGACATGAACATAGATGTTGAAATACGACAATTAGTCGGGATGAGTTGATTGAATTTTAGAACTTGTCAACCATGGAGGACGTATGGCTAGAGGTAGAGAACATGGTTGTGTACAATCCATCTCTGTTCTGACAGACACCGCTTGAATTCAGTGTGTACAACTGCGTACAGCTGCGTCGAGCAACACGGGATCGTGGCTCTACAAAAGCCTACACCAGCAAGCAGCGAACGATACTGGAATACACCAGCAACAGATAACACTGCTCGGTGCTTTGTGATTACGCAGACTCTTTAATGACACTCAGCTTCATCAGCATAAACAAAGCACACTCACAACAACATTTCAGCAGCACTTGTCCATCCTTCATATAATCAGTCCTGACCAAAACAAACAAGCTCTTCTTCAACCACCAGCACAAGGCTGGAAACTCAATGAAAAGTGTACAATGTCAAAAGACAGAGTAAGAAACCAAAAATTCCTCCCGACCAGCCCCCGCAGGAGATGGTTAGAGGTACTTCTGCGCGCTGTGCAATGCACGAAGTTCCTCTAGACAACCGGCCTTCATGATCGCCAGTCGTCCGCAAAAGGTAAGTATGGAGAAGGAGAGAGGGTGGTAGTGGTAGGTAGAGGACTCTTTTATAGAGCCTGCTCACACCAGCCGCTTACTAAGCTCTGCGACCTGGCAAGTTCCATATTGCATGTGAGAGGCAGTGAGTGATAGAAGATAAGAGGTGAGGCTGGAAAGGGTTGGCCTCAGGCTTACTTCACTTGAGCCTCGACGCCAGGGACCAGACATCAGTACCCTGAACAGTCACTCTTGTTTTCTCTCGTACCGCTGTGATAGTGGGGCAGTTCAAAGACGTTCTTTGGTTCATCTTGGGGATATCCAGTGTAGTCCAGTGCCTTCTGTTGTATGCAAAGAGTCCAGCATGAACCAATAACTTTCAGCCTCTCTCAGTGGATATTGCTATCCTCCAGGATATATTGTGCTTTTGACCGTTGCAACAGATGAATGAGGATATGGGTGAGATCAATGGATATGTATGCCCAATGTTCTGAATGTGTAGTGAAGACCAGTTTTCTCTCAAAGTTCCGTCACTTACGTGTTTTTGTTGTTTTGCTTCACAGGCTCGATGAAAAAAGAAAGCACGACTCACCTGTCTTGACCTACCTCGATTACTTTCTGCTTTCCTCTTTCCTTCTTCCCAATCCTTCCTCTTCGCATATTCCCTTCCTCGCACCCCCCTCACTCTCGCAACAACACTGCTTCCATGGTGCGTATCACTAACCAGACTGACCATAGCAGACGCAGCTCCTTGTGGGAGTCTTCCCATTCCGTCCAGGTCTCCAGACCTCGGTTCTTTGCCACACTCTCGCGGTCTCGGCCCCCAGTCCCTCGCAAAGTCGGCCATGCACAAGATCTCCGACCTCAATGTAGCGTCGACTCTTTTCAAGAGTCCGCGGCGGAGGGTTGGAGATCTTGCCGCCTCCAGCCCTTTCGCAAACTTCGCCCACTGCGCTCTTGCAGTCTCCTTGCGGTTTCCGCTCGCCTCTAACGCCGCTCTTCATCCTCGATACGCCAGCGTCGACTTTTTAAAAGTCCGCGGCTGAGTTTTGAAGAGAGCCGCCCCTTCCCCCCTTCTCGTGCCTTCTGCCTCTGGGCGGTCGCTGCCACTCTCTGGCCTCTGGCTCCGGCCTCTGGCTCCGGCCTCTGGCTCCGGCCTCTGCCCCCGGGCCATCCTCCTCTGGCTTCTGCCACATGGCCATCCTCTCCAGTCCAGATCTTTCATGGTCTCGGTTCTTCCTCCTACCCTTGTCACTGCCCACTCCCCTTTCCCTTGTCACTTCCCCCATTGTGTTTTCCAGCTCCAGGCCGGGACATGAAGGGGATTGCAACCTGTAGCATATGAGTTGGCGATGGGCAAAAAGCTTGAGTACATTGTCCGACAAGAGCAACGTCCACCATGAGCCATTATGTTGTTATGTTGAAAGCCCCATTGGAGCCAACTGTGATATGGTGCCCGAGATGTATGCCAGTACCCGCTCGTCCACGAGTCCAGTCTTGAAGGCCCCAGTTAGCTGCTCACTACCATGAGGCCGAGTTTGTGAAAGTGAGTCATCCTACTCAGATACGAGCGAGACCAGAGGCTGCCGCATTCCTTTTCTGCATTATAATTGACGTGACAACTCTAGTACATTATCACTGGTTGGTTGAGGTTCAGGTCAGAGGTCGAGTCGGCGGGATCAGCCGGGCTAAGCGAACGTCTCCGCAAGACGAACGCACAGACGCGAAAACCGCCAACTCAGTCGCGCACCGACAGCAGGCTCCCTTTTTTCTTCCTTCTCTCAAGCGTAGGATATTCATCTCTTTGCGCCCACTCACAACTCCTCGTCCTCCTCATCCCCCCCACGACAAACCAACACCGCCAAAATGGTTGCTGCCACCGTATGTGAATGAGAATCCAAACCGCTTTGCTGGCTCTTTGCGAAAAGAAGACAGTAGGCTGAGATTAGTTTTCAAAATGTAGAAGCCCACCGCCACCAAGGGTGCTAAGAAGACCCAGAAGGTTACCAAGAAGGTGTGTAATATGCTGATCAGTTCCTCTTCACTCGCGCGCGCAACGCTGACAGAGACGCACAACAGTNTCATCATCAACGCTTCCCAGCCCACCAACGACAAGATCTTCGACCCTTCTGCCTTCACCACCTTCCTCCAGTCGCGCATCAAGGTCGACGGCCTCACCGGTAACCTCGGCGAGCGCATCACCGTCACCAACCTCAACGACGGCAAGATCGAGGTCGTCGCCCACCAGGAGTTCTCCGGTCGCTACCTCAAGTACCTGACAAAGAAGTTCCTCAAGAAGCAGCAGCTCCGTGACTGGCTCCGCGTCGTCTCCACCTCCAAGGGTGTCTACGAGCTCCGCTTCTACAACGTCGTTGGCGAGAACGAGGAGGAGGATGACGAGTAAACTTTTTCACAACCTCTCGATAGAGTCGCCTGAATAAAAGTTTTTCGTCTTGTTTTTTGAGGGAAATGCCATGATGGATGCATTGATATCGTATTAGATACCCCCAATCAATTCATCTCTTCCCGCAAAACTTTGCTCTTCCTGTGACAATGTCGTGTTCAGTGCTCTCAAGCGGTCTTTCGCATCTCACTTCGTATCAACAACTCGGTCTCTACCAGTCAGCAAGATTACGAACAGCTTGAAATGTATCGGATAGGGATATTGTCATGAGCATATGCATTTGGTATATTATCCACAAAATTCCACCAACAAAAGACCCTCCCTTGATATCACCGCGAAAATAAAAACCAGGCCTCCCACCATATGTACGCCATATTGTACACCAAGTCCAGCATTATGAACAAAAAAACTCTACTCTTAGTACCCTTGCATCTGCAAATACCTCTTCTCATCTCCTCTATCATCACCCGAGTCCCAACTCTGGCGTCTAGTGTCGGGTTCCAACTCATGCAGTTGTGTCGCTGTGGCATCCATCTCGAAGATGGGCTCGTTGTTTCCTTCCATCTCAAAAGTATTCTGCGGTAGCTTGCCGTAGAACTCATGATGACCACCAGCAGCATCCAACTCGCCACGCCATGGCGCATCCATCTCGGCTGCATTGGGTTTGCTCGGGCCAGCGATTTCGTGAACCTGTCTCGAGCCGTCGAGCTCACCTCCAGTTGGCGTGTTGACGCCTGCATGAGGATCCTCCTTCATGGGCGATGAGGGTCCAGATGGTGTTTGTGCTGCGGCAAGGGATTTGGCTTCCAGTTCCACAGCTGCGTACTTCTTCTGTTGCTTCTTGCGGCGCATGAACCAAAGTGCTCCGGCGAGGATGGCGATGATGGCGAGAACACCGATCACAATACCTGCAATAGCACCACCACTGATACCACTGCTCTTCCCGCCGAACGAGAATTTGCTATCTGGTGAGAAGATGGTGCGGATCTCGGATGCCGAGTTTTGCTCCCATACGCAAGGAGCAACGGTGAAGTTGCGACGTTCGTAGTCGGCGACAACATATGCTTCTTGCAGGAAGGTACGACCCAGAGTGTATTGGGTGTCGTTCGCTGCACGCTTCAGAGGGAAATAGCGCGTCGAGTTGGCTACATAAGGGAACGCGATTTCCAGATCAAAGGCCGCATAAGGTAATGTGATCTCGGTCGTTTGTCCTCCAGAGGTCGATTGGCCAAGGGTGAATGTGACTGATTTGTTCAATGCAAGAAGACTGGTGTGCATGGTATCGTTGACCAAGTAGTACTGATAATATTCGTCGTAGACAAGGCCGAATGCGTTCTCGAAAGCTGTACAGACGGATTCCGGCAAGTAAAGATAGGCAACAGTCGAGTCGATCAGGGCGTAGAATGCGTCAGAAGAGTTTGACAATCCAGCGTTTCCGGTCTTGATAGACTGTACTCCAACGAGGAGATCCCTTGAAACGTCGGCACCGAATGGCATCGTCAAATTAGTAGGTTCAAACTTGGACTGATCGTAACCACCAAGTACGAGGCTTCCATAAACTCCAGAAAAGNNCCTGTCAACTATCAGCATCTGCTACGAGATCACTCTCAACATTCCAAGCCACTCACGATATTGGTTACCAGCAGTATAGCCCCAACTCAAACTCGGAATAGTGTTGTTCCTCTTCAGCTGGGTCATGAAACTCGGTTGAGGATCTGTGTAGGTTGTAAAGTTGGCTGGTTGTGGGTTTAGTCCAAAGGTTCCAAGCCAGAATTGGTAATAACCCATGTTTGCGATGGTGCTGTGTTGTACTGAAGGTCCACCAGAGCCTTGCCATCCCAAAGTGACAGTGTCGAATCCATAATTTGCCTCATCGTCAAGACCCAGGGCCATCTCATTCGGCAATCCTAATTGGAATATGGAGTTGGGCACCCATGTCAGAGACGTGTTGGTCAGGAAGAATTCGCCGCGAGACTCTTCGCATCCAGATATTGATCCTGCCATACCCTGACATCCTAACGGCTTCACGGTCCAAGTGGTGTATCCATTTGTCGAGACGAAGACTCGAATGTCTTGCGCTGGTGTGCCGACCTGGAGCGGAAACGAAGACCTGCCACAACATCAGCCCTTGCTCCATCTATTGAATACCCAAACGCGACACTCGTGATCGTACCAAGGTCCATCGGCACCGTCCCAGTATTGTGATGCCTCCACATTGATGGGCAAGGGTATGTCCGTCGTGTTTTCCCGTTTTGCCAATTTTTGTGCTGGAAGTATCGATTTTGCCATATCAGAGAAGTCATAGGATGCGGCCGACTCAAGGAAGAGCGCGCTGAGCGCTGCGGCTTGAAAGCGCATGACCGGTGGCGCGCGTGACGGGTGTTCGGGCGTGAATGATGTGTATCGAGTACGAGATATTACCAATGTCGACAGGAAAGAATACCAGGATGATGGATCATTAAAATCTGCTTATGAAACAACGAGGGATGGGTCCATCAACAGGGGTCGTAGGAGATATGGAAAAGAGAGAAGGAAAGAAACGAGAGCTGCTCTCCCTCAACCCTAATAGGCAGTACCGGCGTGCCACACCACTTGACTCTGAGCCTCTACGTCGCTGAGCGAAAAGACGACGGAACTCTGTTCTTGGAGAACGGCGGCCCCGGATTCTTTTACGCTCTGGCCTCTGCAACGGACGCCCTGATAGCCGATCGTGTAGCTCGGTTGTTGCGAGGGAGGGGACTGAAGAAGCATGCCGCCCTTGAGGCATAGGATACGATACCTTGCAGATATCCTACCTGTCACGGACATCATTGACTACTCGATTCCCAGGGCACGATCTTCTGCTCGTCTCGTGCATTCGCAGAGCCACGAGCATGCACGAACAACTGACGAGCAAAGATCGCTGCTTGGCTTCGTCATAACATCTCCTTTTGAATCTCGCGGTTTAGCCGAATACGGGAGGGTCTGGGAATAAATAGAAAAGCTTGGCTAAAGAAAGGCTGAGATTGGCCAATCACAACAACTATGGAAGTCTTTACATTTGACCGAGAGATGCTGAAACATAGCATACCTGACTTATCATGATCAACAACCAACAATTGATTGCTTCGGGAGACTGTCTAGTCGATACGTTGTATGGCAGACTATGACGAGAAGGTTTGATGTTATACCCGGCGTGACAATAAGCGTGCTATACTTTAATGCCATAGAGGGAAACATGTAGACCGAACTCTAACATAGACTACTACATAGCCAACTTTTGGGTATTTCGTAACCTTGGCTCTATAAAGAACAAAGAGCTCTACAGCTATATGTATCACGAGGTCGTCAGGGTCCTTTACTCCTTGGGAGTGAGACCTCTAAGGCTGAGATCGTACACAACATCTTCGACCTCCTTGACACGGTACTTGATACCATCGGACCTCTTGCGAAGCGAATCGTTCTTGAGATTCAAGATCTGGAATCCGGCATGGACATGCTTGATGAACTTTGCGATGTGGACAGGACGCGAATAGTCACCCTGAGTCACACTGTTGCGAGCAAGACGTGCCTATGAAGGGCATTAGAATCCACGAGTTACGATATGGCTGCGCCAACTCACCAGTTCGTCGATCAGAGAGATCAACGATTGAAGGTATTCCTCGATAGTCAGATGGAAGACATCTCTATCCTTGACGTTGACGGGGACTNNGTAAGGAATTAAATTTTGTGGTTGAGTGGGGAACTTGGTCTCCTTACTGTTCATGATTTGGCCGACCTCCTCAATGGTCAAGAGACGACCATCTTGAGAACCAGATCCGACCCCAGAGAAGCCGCCGAGGTATCCACAGAGCAGGATTGAGAAGGACTATATTTTGGCAGAATTGGTCAGTTGAGGGCAGATATGGAAGAAAAGAGAAAATCAAAAACCTACAGCATCTTGCACATGTCTTGTCCACATGCCGTTGTACTTGTAATAAGGATACTTTGATGCAGCATCTGAAAGCTTGGCAATGGACTCAACCTCCTTGCTGATAGATTCTTGAGCGGAGGCTACGACAGCAGGTACTGATTCAATTTTAGTAGGAGTGTCCTCGTGAGCGATGGTGGTAACACTGACGNNCTCGTTGTTGCTTGACGAGTGTGCGCCGGAGAGGATCGCCTGGGTTGATCGGTCNTGTGGTCTTGTCAACATAGGATATCTTGGGAGTTTGGTGACAGGATATTGACCTTGCTTCTCAAGAGTTTGCACGATCTCGCGGATGGACNNTTGAGAATTGATCAGTACATAGCTCATGAAGATTGTATAAAATTCAGTCGGGGTGCTTACTTCTCTGACTTCGGTCTCTTCATCAATCTTCTTTTGCAAGCTCTCAAAAATCTGAGGCTGCAACAATCCTTGGGCGCTTCCAGACATTTTGGCTGTGTGGTGTTGTATGGTGGAGTATCTGGGAGGCGTCTGTTTGTTGCTCTGGTAGGCAAATCGTGTGGAGAGCAAAAGCTTCGACTACATCATCACGGTAATACGCGCAACAAAAATCACGAACAAAATTCAACAGTATAGTCGATGACTGGTTTGGATTCTTCGTGGCAAGCACATGATAGTTCTACTATTCACAATGTCTACATTTTGCATCTATCCTCCGTATCTTGCATTGATCAGATAGATCTAGCGTCACAAAAAAACTCATTGAGACGCATACACCTTGGATGTGAGCGGGAATTTGTAATATTTTGGTTGCTCGCCGCACTCTATGGTCAAGTGAGATACTCTGATAGAGATATACGCCATGAAGCATGTGTTCCATGCCTTCCACTACGATCCGCGCGGGATCGAGCAGCGCCAACCTTCACGATATTTCCGAGGCCGCATTGCGGCTCAATGTTCATGTCTTTCGTTCCTTTTAATACAGGCTGCTAGTCGTAGCGACGGAGTGACCGAGTAGGGGGTGGTATCGAGGTGGTAGAAAAGTCGGAGGGAGAGGGGCGATTTATCGCATGAGGCCACCTGATTGAGCCATAGCAGCGTTCTGCTCCTGGAATCTCTGGCCGAGGCGCTCAGAACCCTTGATGAACTTGTCGACGCAGCGCATGGTGCAACCCTCCTCCTTGGACGAGAGCTTGGATGAAGTGAAGTCATCGACGCAGTGCTCGAAGCAGCGCTGGACAAGGTTGCTGTACATCTACGGTGGCGATTTCAGCGGGCGATTGCATTGTAGTTCGGTTGGTGGAGATCATACGTTCATGAATTGCGACATTTGCTTCTTCTCCATGCGCATGGCGAGTTCGCGCTGCTCGTTGGCGTTGAGACTGTACCGTGGTCAGAGGCTATTCAGTGAAAGCATAAGCAGACATATCATACCCGTCCATTTTGAGTCTGTGGGAGTTTGAGAGTATATGAAGAAACAGAGTCGTGATCTTGATACAAGTCTTGGATGAATCTTTCTGTCGCAACCACGAAGCTGCAAGACTGACGACGAAGCTCAATCCACGTGCGGGCGGGCCTTTCCGAGCGTCACACCTGAGCAGCGTCCCCGAACCTGCCTTTCTGACCGCCTTTGATCTTCAGTTATGCGATCTGCGAGCTACGACTTGTCTGCATATTGAAGATTGAAACATCCTCCCGACCAACCTTTTCTTGATGTCACTTGGCTTGAAATGTGTGTGACGGTTCTTGTGTCTGTCTACCCAGCACCTTGAAGCCATGCCGTGCAGCCACGCCGGCGTCACAGTGTGCAATGCCGTGGCCGTTGGCTCGCTCCTTGGGCGGGCTATAAATAAACAAATGCTGTCGCGCAAATCAACACAGGCCGTCGTCAGCAGCCAGATTGCCTTGTATATGGCGTGGATGGCCCCATGTCCTGTCTTCATCTGCTCCGCATCTACTCCACAATCTTGCGACGGCACTACTTAGTGCCATCTCCAGATCTCGAGAGCAGAGGGACTGCTATGCTTCTACCATTGAATGTCTGGGTGGCTGGCGCCAAGATGTCAATATAATGGCCGCGGCAGCAGAAACATCGCGAGGTGCTCATTCAACCGGTGCAAACCTGCTTTGACTCGGGCGCGTCATTGTTCCATGCTGGCGTGTGGAGTTGGGTGAGGTGGTGGTAGCTGCTAGTGAATGACGGGTGTTTTGTCATGTAGCTCGCGACAAAGCAGGAAAGGCAACCCTCTCTCATCTCAAACAGCGGAAGGTCAGCCGCCAAGTCCTGAGGGTGGACTTCGTCTTGATCAACCTGAACCTGAACCTCGCTCTCCCGTGCATACATAACCTCAGCGAACATCCACGTTGTTTGTTATTGATTTTGGCCCAGCCAGAGCTACCACGCAGCAAGACGGCGGGCCTGCATAATTTACACCAGCGCCGAGCATGCCCACGTCGTCGGCCGGGCACCCAGGCGCGACCCTGGCACCTCCTGCGCAGTCCACGACCGCTTCGTCCGCCGAGGCCGTCCAGTCGAAGCGCGACCTGACATCGTGGTGGAAGAACTTCAAGCGCGCCACACCCCAGAGGGTGCAGGAAGAGAAGGGTACTTATCTCCATNGCTCGTGCTGTGCTGCGCTCTGCGACTTGCGCAGCGCCCTCTCGTCGCCGCCGTCACATGCTAATCCGTTGCTTTGTCGCGCAGCTCCCCAGGGCATCTTTGGCGTCCCTCTCCAGACCAGCATCCGCTACGCAAATGTCGCCATCTCGCTGTTCAACGAACAGGGCCAGAGCTACATCTACGGCTACGTCCCCATAGTTGTCGCCAAATGCGGTGTCTATCTGAAAGAGAAGGGTATGTCCACAACATGTCCGAACCCTCACATGCCATGCGCTAACCCCGGCCATANNGCCACCGATGTCGAGGGCATCTTCCGTCTGAGTGGATCTGAGAAGCGCATCAAGGAACTGCGCATTGCCTTCGACTCTCCCGACCGCTACGGCAAGGGTCTCGACTGGAGCGGCTATACCGTCCACGATGCCGCCAACATCCTGCGCAGATACTTCAACCAGCTCCCCGAACCCATCATCCCTCTTGAGTTCTACGAACGCTTCCGCGACCCGCTTAAGAACCACCAAGCACAGGCCGTTGGCTCCATGGATATGCAAGCTCCCAACATTGGCCATTTCGACCCAGTCAAGGCTATCCGCGTCTACCAGAGCCTCATCACTGAGCTGCCTCCTCTGAACCGCCAGTTGCTCTTGTATATTCTGGACCTCCTTGCAGTCTTTGCCTCCAAGTCGGACCTCAACAAAATGACAACCCCCAACCTTGCTGCCATCTTCCAGCCCGGTCTCTTGTCGCATCCCCAGCACGACATGGCCCCTGCCCAATATCGACTCAGCCAAGATGTTTTGATTTTCCTCATCGAGAACCAGGACTCGTTCTTGATCGGCATGCACGGCACCGCTGCTGACGAAAAGACAGTCAAGGAAGTTCAGAGCGGCGCACCTACCCCCAACACTCCTGGATCGCCTCTGACTCCTGCGAGATCGAAGACTCTACTCGGTCGTTCAGCATCCAACGCTAGTGCCGGTGCTGACAGTGTCCGTTTGTTTGGCAATCTTCGCAGAAACGTCTCTGTATCTTCGAGAGCTTCCAAGCGCTCTGCTCATCTTCAAGGCCACGTTACGCCTACCCTCGGCAGCCCTGCCAATTCTGGGGGTATTCATCGCAGCAACACTGTTCCTTCGAAGCATGGCGCATCTCCACACTTCCGTCGTGAAAAGAGCTCCGAGCCGCCTACTCCTAGTCCTGGTTCTGGTTCAAGCCCTCTGCCTACCGTTATTGACACCACGTCAGTCGCCGAGAACAGCATCTCTGAGGAACGTACACCTGTTGCTCCCACGCCTGCTTTGGCTTTCCCAACCGCCGCACCCGTATCAGTCGTTGCGGCCCCTGCAGCCTTTCAACCTTCCCAGGCTGTACCTCTTGCACCCGAAATCATCTCGGCATCATCTAGCGAAGCAACCACTCCTCTTGCTACTCATGGTATCGAGACAATGGGTCTGCTGCAAAGAGAGCACACCCAGTCCAGCACTACGCCTTTGCACATCACCTCGCCGACTGGTGACCGAAGAGTGAACCCTGCTGATCGTTCCCCTTCCGGCACCCCTTCTCGCGTCATCTTAGATTTCCTGAAGCCCTCTCCTGGAGGTAGTGACAATGAGAGAAGAGAGGGCCGTAAGCCTAATAAGCTACAGAAGAAGCGTATCCCTGGAAGTGCACTTTCAAGTGCTCACAGCTCTGCCCACTCTCTTCAGCAAGAGCCTGAATCACTGAACGATTACTTCGCTTCTCCGACGACCCCGATTCTGGATTCACGCGCTCAGGACTACATCAACGAGTATGGCAATGACCGTTCTGCATATGCCACAGCTCAGACATCTCCCAAGTTTATGACTCCGCAGCGAACAGAGACGGACGCCACCCTTAGACCTACAGTGTCGCCGGCACACTCGTTCCATTCCACAGATGTCACGGATGTGACCGATGCTTCTGACGTAGACCACCCTGACCAGTTTCAGTCCTCTGCCGAAAGGCCAGAAAAGAAACGCCGCTGGCGATTCTCAAGACCTGCTGAGAACCGTGAGGGCAACGACCATGTTCGCACAAATTCCAATATTGGTAATATAAACAGTGCGGACCAGAGCAAGTCTACTATCAGTAGCTTCAGTGGCGGACAACCCCGACGCAGCTTCCAGGACAGCCATGTCATGTCTGATCCCGAGTCCATGCTGTCTGACAGTGACAACAAGAAGGGCCCTATGAGCTGGATCAGGAGTAAGCTGACCGAGCGCAAAGAACGTGAAGCAGAAAGAAGAGCACGATCGCCGATCAAAGTTCTGAAGGAGGAGCACAACGGCTCTAGACAAAGCCTCAATGCACCGGCAGGCACAGGAAAGAGCTTCGAGCTGTCAAGGCAGCGATCTCCTACAGCACAACGAAATGTACCCGAGACTAGCACCGCCAATGTGCATGGTGCCTCCCCTTTGGCAGCATTGGACCCCCAGCTTCCTGGACAAGCTGATGTCGCCCCTGTCGCAGTCAGTGAGAATCAGACACAGGTTGCCCAAACATCTGGATTCGCTCAGTCCGATATTTCTGAGCGCACTCAGCCAAAGCAGACTCAGCCCTTCGATGCCACCTCGAATGCTCAAACCTAGGTCGTTTGGTATGGGAAGGATGGAACTATGGTCGGTGGAAGCTCTTGGATACCGGGTTTGAAACGCACAGTCAAGGACGGAAGTGCGGAATGATGGTTGTCCTTCAATTGGACAAGAAGAAAAGGAAATTGTTACATTGCATTCAAGAGCCACTTTCTTACTTCTAATCCAGTCTTTCGTAGGGTATCTTTACAGAGGGGAAAACATTTTGTTGCTAGTACAGGATATACCTTTTGAGCGCAGATTCTCTTGTATCATTTGAACAAGATGTGGGTCGAGAGCAATTTGCGATTGTAGTTCTTAGAGCCATTGGCGCATTATGCAAAGTGCACTATTCATAGAGGTACACGAGTACATTGAGGCACCCGTTCAAGTAGGTTCCCGCGGACCTCGGGGGAGTTTGGTGAGGATTGGGAGGTTGCAGATGCAGTCTTTCAGGAACAGGAATGATGAACAGACCAGAAGCAGAGCGCGCAGGACAACCTTGTCTGAGAGACGTCTCTTACGAGATTTACGAGGCAAGCGTGCTGGGACTCGCGTCAGCATGCCCTTTGAGCAGCAGACCAAGAAGACGCAGAGGAGACCCCACTATGCATAGCAAAACTATCGCGTCGAGGTGGAGTTCTGGCAAGCCGATGAGCTCGGCCAAGGCATGAGCAGTCCCAACTGATGTACGCGATCGAAAGCTTGAATGGCTGGCTGGAGCATTGCTTCGTGTTTCAAGTGGGGGATCAGAGGAGGATCCGACGGCCTCTAAGCAAGTGCTTACAGAGTCAGTCGACGTGGATCAAGTCTTGCTGCACGAACGGCAAGAAAACGACGCGGTCAACGTCATGTCCATCAAATGCGTTGAGCGACGGATAGGGTAGGCGGGTAGCCGTGCGTCAAGTCTGAGGGAGGGCTTGTGGCGTGCACGATGGTGGAATGTGTGAATTTCTATCATGTTTCGTGACCTCGCTGCTCCATGTGAGCGCGCAGTGGGAGAATGGTATAGCTGGGTGGCGAACAAAGGGAAGGAAGCGGTGTTTGAAAGGGACGGCTTATTTTTGGATTGCACTGCCCAATCGTCTTGCTGGCGCGGTCTTGCTGAGTTCACACGGAGCCAGCGATCGTGGCCGTCATGGTGCCAAGTTCCTCGAGGCTTTCGTCGGCTCGCGATCCGGGCAGCTTTCAAGGTTCGACGGTTGCCATCGTGTGCCGTCCCACGAGCCTTTGCTCTTCATATCCTTCACCATCTGCAGCACTGCTCTTCTTTGCCATCTCTTCACACATTCGCTTCTCAAGCCGTCTTCATTATTCATATTCCACCAGCGTTGCAGCAAAAGTTGTTGAACAAGCAATCTCGAGACTCAAAAGCTGCTTGATTATTGGATAGGCCGTTCTCGTATCGGGACTAGATATAGTGTCAGCCGAACGTTCGCTTATACACAGTAGCTGATCCTGTACGTATCCGTACTTCTTGTCTCACTCCTTCGACTCCTCTTCTAACGCGTCTCTCCTTTTGAAGGTTGTGCACCTTCTGCCTTCGACTCGTCCACGTCGCTCTGCGAAAACATGCCTTCGATCCGGTCACTCCTGTTCGCTGGACTCCAGGTCACTGGCCTTGCGCTGGCCGACTCTACCGATAACTATGAGGACTCGCCAGATGTTGGCGTATTCAGACAGGTGCTGGGCCGCCTGCCTGAAGAGTCGATCCATGCCGCATTGTCTGGACATCTAGGAGGAAAGTATCAGGCTGGCGTATTCGAGAAGGACCACAGGGCCATGGAGCACATCCACAACGACAACCCATCCTTGGCTTCGCGTCTCATTGAGATTGCAAAGCACGATGTCGCTGTCCGAGCAGAGTTGCGCAAGAGACAGGACAACAGCGTCGATAACACGACCGTCATCGCTGTGCCTTCGACCACCACCTCGGACCAAGTATCTACCACCAGTACCGAGGCCGTCATCGTTACCGACTCAAGCACGACTTCCGTATCATTGACCACAGAGACTTCGGCCCGTGCGACGACCGACGCTCCTACTTCGACTGTTGAATCGTCGGCAGCTCCTTCGAGCATTACAGGAGGTGAGAGCAGTGCTGATTCGTCGTCCGCTTCTTCTGCGTTTGTGTCTACTTCTGCTTCTCCTGCGTCGCGCTCGGATACTGTTGTTGCTACCTCTTCCGGCTCGAATGTTGCTTCCTCCTCCCAGACCTCGTCTGCCGAGCCCTCCTCTGCCGCCCAGAGTTCTGCCTCCTCCCAGCAGAGCTCTGTTTCTTCTGCTGCCGCGTCATCCTCCGCGGCACAGTCTTCTGCTTCGTCCTCTGCCCGCGAGACTTCTCAGATCTCTGATGCTTCTACTGTTTTACTCTCCCCATCCTCCTCTTCTGGTGCGATTTCTTCTGGACGTAGCTCATCTGTTGTAGCATCCTCATCGGTAGCTTCCTCGACTGAAGCCTCATCAGCTCCCGAAAGCTCGGCTGCTTCTTCCGCAGAAACCTCTGACCAAAGCTCTGCCGCCAGTTCTATACAACCAACCGTCGTCGCCGTTACTACCACTAACTCAGCTGGAAGCACTATCGAGACTTCGGCCACCGCGACCCGCCAGATTGCTGCCTCTACCACTAGCGCTCGTAGCTCCGCTGCTGCCTCGTCCGCCCCTGAGTCGACTGCTTCTGGTGTTCTTGTTCCTGTTGTGCTGTCGAGCACCAACAACGATGGAAGTACTGTGTACCAGACCACTTCGGCTTTCCAGCAGTCCGCATCCGTTAGTGTTGAGCAGACTTACACCACTACAGACTCACAAGGCCGTGCTGTAACCACCTCTGCTCGTTTCCCCGGAGTTGTCGTTGTTACTACCAACTCGCGAGGATCGACCATCTCAACAACTTCCGCTATTGCCAGCGTTGCTGTTGATCAGAATGGAGATGTGATTAGTTCTGTCGATGCACCTGCGCCAAGTGGAAGCACTCGTCGTACAAGCGATTCTGAAGTCGTGACTACTACCGATCAGTATGGCGCCAGCGTAATCCTCTCTGGTGCTTCGCGTGGAGCCGTCATTACTACCACGGATGCCAAGGGTTCTACCTTCATCACCACCTACACTCCCGGTGGTGGCAGAGTCAGCTCTCTGGTCTTGATGACTACAACCTTGCCCGATGGCGCACCCGCCACTGTGACCTCGCTTGCTGTTGTTGGCGGTGCACAAGCTGCGACCGCCTCATCGGATCGTCCCAGCTCTACCAACACTGCCGCTCCTGGCCTGCAGTCTGGTGCTGCCAGCGCATCTCACGCTCACATGAAGGGTGCATTTGCTGTCGTTGGTGGTGTGTTGGGTCTTGCCTACATGCTTTAAGGGTATGCTCGGCATGGATTTACGAGACAAGAATTTTCTGAAAAAGGATATACAGGCATCGTATGATGTTGCGTTGCGAAATTGGGTCTCATTTTTGTGTTTTTATTCGACTCTACGATCACGACTCTCCTTGACGTTTTGTACTTTTACCATTTAGCATAGCGGGAACTTGGGAGGGCATATAAACGCTTCTAGCGTAACATTTGTGTGTTTGATATCAGATAGGAGCAATCCATCAACTCTCCTAGCTTGCAATCTATATTCCAGCGATAACATGAGCATTGGTGGTGAAATCCATTTGTTCACGTCGTCCTCGTTCATGAGGCGACTGCGAGCACGTCGTGACTGCCCATATTGACGCTTCAACTCATGACTATCGTATGAACGTTCAAAGCGTTCATTGTCCTTCAAATATTCATCACAATCGCACCATTCCCTCTCGGCGCTGTTTCAAGATATCAAGCACAGGAATCGCCCCCTAATGCCTAAGCAGCATCTACGCCCACACCTATACCCACGAGCCTGAATTTCCTGCAATGGTCGTCGCAACCTTCAAGCGAATCCTCTACATACGATTGTTTCGAGCTGTCCGCAACACGCGCATCTCGCCCATCGGCATGTATCTTGCCTACAAGGGGACGGGCCTTGGAGACGTCAAGATGTTTGAGAACATGAGCATATCGGACTTTGTAGCGGTCTAGGAGCCATACAACGGGAATGCTCAACCAACAGACATTGTTGGCAACCCGAAGAACGTCAGGTCAGTAGAAGATGGAGACCCTATATCTAGCAGAGCTGACACAAACGCAGGAGAAAACACAACTGTATTCATCCCAACTGCCAGAGGTGGCATGTCTGAATGTCTCCAAGACGGTGCATATTGCGGATGTTGTTGGTACACTACGAATAAATCAGAAGAGCAAGTACAAGCTTTGCCAGTTGTCTATTTGAGGATCCAATAAAGTCGTTGTTCATGGTGTGTCAAGAGCAAGACAGGAATAACATCTTGAGAAGAGGTGTGGATCATTTGACTTTTGAGCCTCCAGGCGCCGAGCTTTGGCTGACGGCGGGTGACCAGACCAAAATACACCTCTTTCAATTCTTGAGCGGGGTCTTGTATCTGGACAAGAAACGTTCTACATACACAAGCCACAAGTCACTCTCATCCCTCGCTGGATAGACCTTCAAAAATCTTGCAGAAACGACAGCGGAGACGTCCGACTTGAGCCGAAGCTTGTGGTCTTTGGAGGCCTTTTGGTCATTCATATCGAGTAACGTAAACCCAGGCGCATGCAGAGTCGATAGTACACTTTCTTACAAGAACTTCTCTTTCAAACTACCTTTGACTTTACTTCTACCCTCCAAAAACATACAAACAGACGACAAGATGGTCCCCGCGCTGAGAAAGATCCTCATTATCAACCCAAACTCGACGAGATCCATGACAAATGCGCTCAAGCCGCTGGTCGACTCTCTGGGCTACTCATCGGTATTTATCACAGCGCTACAAGCCCATTGAGACACAAGAACAACGTCTGAGTATGGGTATTCGAACAGANCACAACACACGTACTTCACGGCACCTTCAGGACCTGCATCAATCAACAATGAAGATGACGCGGCAGAGTCGGCAAGACACTGTCTAGAACCACTGCTTCCGCTGCTCGAAACGCACGACGCTTTTCTCGTTTGCTGTTACTCGGCACATCCTCTGGTCGGACAGCTCAAGGCTAGACCGGAGATTGCTGGCCGTCGCAAGCCGGTGACTGGCATATTCGAAGCATCTGTCAGCAGCAGCTTGCAGGCCATCGGACCTGGTGAGCGATTTGGCATTGTGAGCACGGGTAAGGTATGGGAAGCGACGTTGCGTGAAGCTGTGGACAACTATCTAGGTGTCGAGGACAACACCGAGGGCAGTGCGGCATTCGCTGGAGTGCAGACGACGGGGCTTAATGCCACAGAGCTGCATGATACGTCGCCTGTCGAGGTCCGTAGCCGTATGAAGAAGGCAGTGGCGAGGCTCCTGATTGACGATGCTGGAGGCCCAGTCGGAGCGGTATGCCTTGGATGTGCGGGCATGGCAGGGTTCGATGACATGGTCAGAGAAGCAGCTATTGAGACATTGGGTCATGGTCAAGGATCAAAGGTACGAATTGTCGACGGAGTCGTAGCCGGTGTGACATGGCTCGAAGGAGCTCTACGGTCGGGAATGTAGACTCTAGTAATGATTTCATCATCCATTGACTTGAAATGACATGTTTGAAGAGTGTTCGCAATGTCACTGGTATAACTATCGGGCTTTGTTCGGGGAGAGGCTGGAGCTCCCTAAGTGGCCGAGGCTTCAATCTCCAAACAAATGTCACAAGCAACACTTTCCTTTGTAGCAACTTGGTCCCCTGCACACACATACAATGGCGGCGACAGAAACGAAAACAAAGACGTTCAAGTCGCACCCGATCGAAAGCTGGGACGACGGCTTGTCGCCCATCTACACACACCTGCACCCGCTGCTCCTGCTCGGTCTCTTCTACTACCAGTTCCCCTCGCTGGTCGAGAAGCCCGTCGACACACTGCCGCAGACTGCTCTGGGCGTCGCTGCTCTACAGCTGTTGTACCTCTGCATCTGCATTCCTGGAAGCAACCAAGCTCAATTGCCTCAGCGCGGAAAGAAGAAGGGAAAACTGACGCAGAACCACCAAGGAGACACTGGCTTTGGAGCCAAGCTGGTTGTACGTGTCGCATAACTCGCATGTCTCTGAATACTCTTGTATTGACTTTTGCATGTAGNNCCTGGTATTCTCTCCCTCATTCTCGCCGTCACGCTCGGTGCTCCTCTCATCGCCATCATTCTCGTCCTCTTTGGCGCCCCGCTCACCTCGCACCAAGCTCACACCCTCTACTGCGGACTCCACATCTCGCTGCTCGCCGCATACCCTCTCTTTTACGTCCACGGCGTCGACGGTGCCAAGTGGACCGAGGTGGGCGCATTGGCTGCCCCTATTGATGAGGTCTTTGGCGCTACTGTTGGAACATTGATTGGTGCTTGGATGGGTGCCGTGCCCATTCCTCTGGACTGGGATCGTGAGTGGCAGAAGTGGCCTGTTACTATCTTGGCTGGTGCTTATATGGGATATGCCGTTGGCAAGGTCGTGGGTGGTTCGCTGCTCAAGGGCTCGAAGATCAAGATTGCATGAAGGACGCGGACGCTATCATCGAGGAACCCACAAACTGCCACGGCTTCCAAGGCCTGCTTGCAATCACTTGTGCAGCGCACAGTCGAGGTCGTAATCGTTTGTTAGCAGACAGACGAGCAAGCGCCGACCTCGAGACCATAGAGTGGTCAAGCGAGCACAGCGACGTTGGTCCTGACAACTCCTAGCTACAGGGCGCTTTTCGACATCCGAGAGGAGCCATACGCAAGGAAAGCAGTTGAAGACGCCATGAAAGATCAATCAGTCGTACATTATCGACACTATATCTCGCATGAACCATCGCCTTGGCATTAGTTTAATGAACAATCTCTCCAGGTCACTCCAGACCAAGGACCAAGAACAAAGATGCATATTCTACCTCATCTTTCGATCTTTTCTAAGGACAGAACACCATGTGACGGTTGCACATCGCAGTTGTAGGCATCATCGCGGCGGATCAATGGGACAATGGAACATTTGATCGACGCTTCTAGAGATCTGATGGAAGGCAGAGAAATCGCGGGGGAGCGAATTACAGGCAACGGGTTTCCAGACTTGAGTGCAGGCAAAACGACGCATGTCTGCATGAAATGCTTGTTTACCCGACTGTGGTGCCTGTGCGTGTCAGAGATACTGTTTGGACCATGTCTCTAATCACAGATGGTGGTGTGATGGTCACTGGTCACCTTGCAGGATATTGACCGTCGTCTCTTCGTTTCTGCTGAGATTCAAAGCAAAGTTCCGGGTTTGGAACGGCTCAAAAAGAGTGCCGAACAGAACCGCGATCGCAGACACACGTCCGGGACCGGAGCAACTGCATTGCGTGTATCAACACTTTCTCATAAGCAAGCCGCTACTCCCGCTCGTTTGCTTGCTCATCATGACAATATCCGTTGCCTCCGTCTCCGGTATTGCCCTCTACTCAGGCGCTGGCCCTTAAAGACAAAGAAAGTCCCTTGCAATCGCGCGTGAAAACTTCCAAGACCCTTTGACTGTTTGAACGGGCCCTGTCAAATACACAGATTACATTCGGTTTGCCCCACCACCGCTTTGGCAGCACTTAAACTCTCAACCACTTTTCTTCCAAGAACAAATAAACCCCTTTGCGCCACTCTTTGTCTCGACTTGGACCTTCTCTCTTTCTACTATCATACGACATTCACGCCAATTGACCTCGACCGCACTCTTCGACGCCTCCCATCTGTCCGTCCTCGCCATTGGATTTGTATACCCCGCCAACCCCGCCTATCCGATCGACCCTATTTTCCAGGCACACGACAAAAACTCCGAAGCAGCACAGCAATAAAGCACGTCCTCGCTCATTGAGCATCACAAATAACAGGACTCGCCTGCTGTACGGCCCTCCGCGCCGATACACTCGCATTAGAACAACCATGATTCCATCCATTCCTCGCCTCGAAGACTACGATGTCTCTGAGCATTATGGCTTCCTTCCCTCAGAGTACCCACTCGAAGTGCTTCCCGACACATACTATAGACCATGGGAGGCCATTGTCAGAAACCTCCAAGGTTTGATTCTGGGCAAGAGACTGCGAGGCGTTGTCGACAGCCTTCCTGTCTTGTCCACTGAATATCTTCGCTCAGATGCCGAATGGCGCCGCGCATATATGATGCTCGGATTCATCTCACACGCTTACATCTGGAATGGAGACCGACCGAAGGAGCGAGTCCCTCCCAGCATTTCAATTCCCTTTACAGCTGCTTGTAAGCATCTGGAATTACCCACTGTCGCCACATACGCCGGAGTCGTGCTATGGAACTACCGACCACTATTCGACGATGAGGGTATTGATTCTCTTGACAACTTGTCTACTCTCATGACTTTCACTGGCTCGCTGGACGAGTCGTGGTTCTACCTCGTTTCAGTGGCCATTGAAGCTCGCGGTGCTCCCATAATTCCCCTCATGCTGCACGCTGTCGAAGCTGCTCGTCGAGGCGACAAATTGAGAGTCACTGAATGCTTGCGCTCATTCGCCGAGCGCTTGGACGAACTCTCTTCTATGCTAGTACGCATGTACGAGAACTGCGACCCACATGTCTTCTACCACCGCATCCGACCTTTCCTAGCCGGCAGCAAGAACATGCACGAGGCTGGCTTGCCAAACGGCGTCATTTTTGATACAGACAGCAAAGACGACACCTTTGTTCAGTACAGCGGCGGCAGCAATGCCCAGTCCTCAATCATTCAATTCTTCGACCTGGTCCTCGGCGTCGAGCACCGTCCTACCGGCAGCAAGCCTCAAGACATGCCAGCAGCGACTGTCCAGCAAGGACCCTCGGCAAACTTCATCCATGACATGCGCACATATATGCCTGGTCCCCACGCCCGCTTCCTCGAGCACGTAGGCACAGTCTCCAACATCCGCTCTTTTGTCACCACAAACCGTCATGATCGTGCTCTCGCCGGCGCCTTTGACGCCTGTCTAGCCATGCTGAGAAACTTCCGCGACAAGCACATTCAAATGGTATCTCGCTACATCATTGTCCCCTCTCGCGAATCCCGCAACAGCAATGCGCGTTCTCTCTCACCCACAAAGAGAAAAGACTCGGCCTCGCCACAGCAACTCAACATTGCAGCTGCCAGCTCCGACAGCAAAGACAAGAAAAATCTCAGGGGTACGGGCGGCACGGCTCTGATTCCGTTCTTGAAGCAGTGTAGAGATGAGACTGGCGAGCCTGCTATCGATGCTTGGGCTAGACGGTTGTTGAACAATGGACCTGGCGCTGCTGAACTCGGTGGCGCTAGGATGGGAAAGCTGGGCGAACATGCTTCTGGCGAGACTGCGGTGGTTGGTCTTGCTGGTGTGTGGAGTGTTGATGATTCCGATGGAGGTATTTGCCATTGGTAAATTATACCCTCTTGTGTTCTTCTTGATCTCAAGGGTCTTTTGTTTGTCAGAAAAAAAGCGATGGAGTTTGGGGTGGTGGGATATCAGATCTTTGCGGCTCACGCTAATGCAAAGGGTGGAATACGGCATGTTTAATGAGGCATGCAGGACATGTGTACATATGGTTCTTTTCCTTAATCATGTATTGAATACAGAGAATGTAACATCTCTTCTCTTGTTGATTTAGCTGTCTAGATTGCTTTTGTTCATGTGCATCCTTGCTCGCGTCAGAAGAGGGCGTTTGCGAGTTGGTTGCTTGCTCCTCCTCTGTGAACCAATTCTAGCAACAGTTACCACTTTCTAATCTTACACCAGGAGCGCCGTCTCATTGAGAGTTGATAGAACCTTGGTCCGAGACGTTCTGGACGCGTAGCCGCTCCGTGCCCTGTAGTTGTGTTATTCCAAGACTGTTCTCAGAAGCACACATATCGGTAGTCTTGAATCATCCGACTAATCGCCTTTCCTAGCCGTAGCCACGGCCAAGAAGCGAGCCCGGCGCTGTCCTGCAGAAGCCACGCCGGAGCCATGACTTGGCTGGAGTTCTCGATTTCCTCAGAGGTAGTCCTTCTTGCGAGCAGTGCGAGTGTATTGGTTCATGTGCCATTCAACATCACCATCCTTGTTCTCGAGAGTGCCGGCTCTGATCTCGAACAGACGCATCGTCATGCGAGGACCAACTTCTGCCAATTCGACGCTCTGGTATCCAGTTTTGACGAAAACGTGGTGACGGACCTCGATGCTGTCGTCGATGTTCTTGAATGTGACAACACGGGAGCCTAGTTTGGCTGAGGGCTCGCGAGGAGGGAAGAGATGTTGTAGAATCTTGACGACGCGGCGACCGAGGACGGTTGTGAAGCCTTCGAAGATCAGATGAGGGTAGCTTTCGCTGACAGTGCCTCGCTCGGCATTGGGGATATCGGCGCGCAGGACGACGTTGTGCAGGGAGAAACTGGCGGTAGGACCGTGAGGGAAATGGCTGATGGTCATGGCAGTGGGAGTACCACGGTGCTCGTGAACCAGAATCATGTCGCTGAGGCCAGAGCCCTTGGCTGAGCCGACCAAGTTGTTCAAGATCAGGTTACCGCGGTTGAGACGGACGGCTGTGGGCAGGAGCAGACGGATTTCCTTTGCAAAGGTGCCGAGTCGACTGCTGGGGTCGCGAGAGGTGGTGACTAGGATGCGAGGGTCGACAACGCCTGACAGATGCGAGTATTCGTCGTCCAGCTCGAGTTCTTCCTGGGTAGTGCGATCGGGGCGGGATTCATCGTAGCGGTAGTCTGCGCGCAGAGACTTGTCGTTGGCGATCGAGGGATCCAAAGGCTTGCCAGAAGCCAGCGAAGACTTTAGCTTTGCTCTCTTCTCAGCAATCTCGGCATCGCGCAGTGTCAGGGCACGGCGGTATAGATAGTCGCGGCGTTCGCGGGCTTGACGGCGCTGGGGGTCTGTTAGTCTTTACAGAGGCAGTCGGAACAGAGTCAAAGACATACCAGCATGTTGTGTGGTTTCTGTCTGGTTCTTTGACTGGTGCAGATCAAAGAGCGTTACAGAAGTGGCCGCTGGGTGCAGGAAAATGTCGTGTCGGAGATGGCAATAAATTATTCTTGAGAATGCGGAGATGCAGATGGATTTTCTGGCAAGCACCTGCTGCCCTTGCGCTTGCCGCGCGACGCTGACTGCCATTTGAACGCTTTTTAGAGCATAATCGCGGTTTCCTGAACAAGCACAATTTACATCTGTTTCTTGATTTATTCATCGTATTGCCAGCTACCATCACTTGATTCACATGCTTTCATGCTCCACTCTTTTCTTCTTCCTGACCTCCTCTTCAACTTTCTAGACAAAGCACCAGTTCTAGTTGTTGCCAAGACCGTCAAATACAGCCCCGCCACTGTTACTTCGGGGCACATTTCAAGATTGCCGTGCTTTCGGCTTCCCTGTTCACACCCATCGCCGCCATGGAAGGCGCCTTTACTCATCTCGGGAACCACTTGATTTCCGATTCTGCCTCGGCCATCAATGCCGGCGATGACCTCTCCACCATCGACGCTGACGAGGCTGCCCTGGACCGCGAATACCAGGAACGGAACCTGAACCAGCCTCCCCAGGCCCGCCCTCGCCGACGTAGAGCCCGCGACAACGACGAGGAATCCGACATCTTCCCCGACGAAGACGATGATGTAGACAGCCTGGCCAGCCATCAGATCAACGGCCAGAATGGTCACCACCACCAGCATGAAGACCACGACATTGAGCTTCCTACACATGCCTGCGCGTATGTTGCTCAGCACCATTCCTCCGTTTGATTCAAACTGATCAACCTCCCCAGCTACTGCGGCATCCACAACGAGAGCAGTGTCGCCAAATGTCTGTCTTGCAATAAGTGGTTCTGCAGCGCCCGTGGTAACACCTCGTCCTCGCACATCATCAACCACCTCGTGCGCGCCCGTCACAAGGAAGTCCAGCTCCACCCTGCCTCCGCCCTTGGCGATACCGTCCTCGAATGTTACAACTGTGGAACCAAGAATGTCTTCCTCCTTGGTTTCATTCCCGCAAAGTCCGACACTGTCGTCGTTCTCCTCTGCCGTCAGCCATGCGCCGCCATGCCTTCGTCCAAGGACATGAACTGGGACACGTCACGTTGGCAGCCTCTGATCGAAGACCGCTCTTTCCTCCCATGGCTCGTCGGCCCTCCCACGGATCAGGAACAAATGCGCGCTCGTCACCTGCCGCCTCAAATGATTGCAAAGTTGGAAGAGCTGTGGAAGGACAACCAGCAGGCCACCATCGCTGATCTCGAAAAGGGTGTCGGTGTTGATGACGAACCCGCCCCTGTGCTCCTGCGCTACGACGATGCATACCAGTATCAAAATGTCTTCGGACCTCTGGTCAAGATTGAAGCCGACTATGATCGCAAACTCAAGGAATCGCAATCGCAGGATGGTCTGATCGTGCGCTGGGACTTTGCGCTCAACAACAAGCACCTTGCCAGCTTTGTCCTGCCCAAACTCGAGATGGGTGATGTGAAGTTGGCTGTTGGAGACGAGATGCGCCTGCGCTACACCGGAGAGCTGCGACCTCACTGGGAAGGTGTCGGATATGTTATCAAGATCCCTAACAACCAGTCTGACGAAGTCACCATCGAATTGCGCTCAAAGGGAGACCACAAGTCTGTGCCTACCGAATGCACCCATAACTTCAGCGCCGATTATGTCTGGAAGGCCACTTCGTTCGATCGCATGCAGCATGCCATGAAGACATTTGCGATTGACGAGATGAGTGTCTCTGGTTACATTTTTCACCGTCTGCTCGGACACGAAGTTGCTGCTGCTCCCATGAAGACTCAACTCCCGCGCAAGTTCAGCGTCCCTGGCCTGCCCGAGCTCAACAGCAGTCAGATCAATGCTGTCAAGAGCGTCCTCCAGAAGCCGCTCAGCTTGATTCAAGGTCCTCCTGGAACTGGCAAAACTGTCACTTCGGCAACTATCATCTACCATTTGGCCAAGCTCAATGGAGGTCAGGTCCTTGTCTGTGCTCCCTCTAACGTCGCTGTTGATCAGTTGTGCGAACGTATCCACCGTACCGGCCTCAAGACCGTCCGTGTCACCGCAAAGTCGAGAGAAGATGTCGAGTCTCCAGTAGGCTTCTTGTCTCTTCACGAGCAGGTCCGCATGAACGACACCAATGTTGAACTCAACAAGCTCAACCAGCTCAAGGCTGAATTGGGCGAATTGTCCAGCCAGGATGAGAAGAAGTACAAGCAGCTCGTCCGCAACGCTGAGCGTGAGATTCTGTCCAACGCCGACGTCATCTGCTGCACTTGCGTTGGTGCCGGTGACCCTCGTCTTGCTAAGCTCAAGTTCCGAACCGTCCTCATTGACGAGTCTACTCAATCTGCTGAGCCAGAATGTATGATTCCTCTGGTTCTGGGCTGCAAACAGGTTGTCCTCGTTGGTGATCACCAACAGCTGGGTCCCGTCATCATGAACAAGCAAGCTGCCAAGGCTGGTCTTAACCAGTCTCTGTTCGAACGTCTTGTCATCCTTGGATGTGCTCCTATTCGTCTGCAGGTGCAGTACCGTATGCACCCTTGTCTGTCCGAGTTCCCTTCCAACATGTTCTACGAGGGTTCCCTTCAGAACGGTGTCACTATGCACCAACGCCTACGCCGCGATGTCGACTTCCCTTGGCCTGTCGCTGACTCGCCTATGATGTTTTGGTCCAACTTGGGCAATGAAGAAATCTCCGCCTCTGGTACCTCCTACCTCAACCGCACCGAGGCTCAGAATGTTGAGAAGCTTGTCACTCGCTTCTTCAAGGCCGGAGTCCAGCCTCAGGATATCGGTATTATCACGCCGTATGAAGGTCAACGCTCGTATGTTGTCTCTTCCATGCAGGCTACTGGTACTTTCAAGAAGGAGTACTACAAGGAAATTGAGGTCGCTTCCGTCGATGCTTTCCAGGGTCGTGAGAAGGACTTTATCATCTTGTCTTGTGTTCGTTCCAATGACCACCAGGGCATTGGTTTCCTTCNNTCTGACCCTCGCCGTCTGAACGTTGCTTTGACTCGTGCCAAGTATGGTCTGGTCGTTTTGGGTAACCCCAAGGTCCTCAGCAAGCACCCATTGTGGCACTACCTTCTTCTCCACTTCAAGGAGCGCAACTGCTTGGTTGAAGGTCCCCTCACCAACTTGCAGGTTTCTCTCCTGCAGTTCAGCAGACCCAAGACTACATACCGCGGACCTCAGCGTTACCAGATGGCTTACCAGCATGCCACCAACATGGCTGCCTCTGGCGGCAATGGCGATGGTCGCGCGACTGGCCGCAAGAACGGCTACAACGACAATGGGTCTGTTGTTGGTTACATTCCTGACGATGTTTCTTCTGTTCACTCTTCAGCCTTGGGAGGTGCTACTCTGCCATCAAACTACCCTCCCATGTTCAAGAACTTCACCGAGGCCTGGCCTACTCTCCCTGGACGTAACGGACCATCGGCGCCTATTAAGAGGGACAATGTTGCCGAAAGTGTTGCTGGTGAAAGTGTCGCTGCTAGTGAGATCACCGACATTACTACCACCACCAATGGTGTGCCTGGCAAGAACGGAACTGGAGTGGGACAGGGTGGTGTCAGTCTTGCTGGCTTGAGCATCAACGATATTGGCAAGCAGGCTAGCTTGTCCCAGTCTGACCGTCTCAAGCGTTACGTTGAAGGCGGTACTATGCAGCCTTCTGTTGGTCTTCGTGGCACCAGCAGACTTGATGATGACGATGTGCGCAGCGTTAGCACCGCTTTCGCCAGCCAGGTTGGTTTGGGAGGATATGATTGATTGACGCAAGGACGACCATCTCTTGGACACTTCTTCTCTCATTCGAAAGAGTCATGCCCACCTTCACGTCTCGCTCGCTAGATGCTCAGCCAAGTCACGGCCGACGCCGGTGTTGCTCACTGCCGTAGCCCTCCCGACGAGCCGTGGATGTTTTGGTCCAGGAAGGACTCCCAGCAATTCGGCAAGTCACCAGTTTGAGGGCTCGTTCTGACATGTGGATGAGAAATTGCTCTGCATACATGGCCACAATGTCCTTCTTTCGGGCACAACAAGAAGCAGTACCCCCACTCGCTGCCTTTCAAAAAAGATGGAACCGCTTCCTATGGGGCCCTTCTTGATGCTCAGCCTTTGTTTGGTAAAGTCTCTTTACTCTCGGGCTCTGGATCAGCACTGACAGCAGTGTGGTGTATCTATCCAACATCAACTATTCACCTTTCCTTCTTTTGAGGATAGAGGGGGATGTTTCATGCTAATCAGAGATATGGTGTTAACCGTCGAGGATTCGCTAGTTTTACCTCCTTTATCCTTGCTTCACTCAATACAACTTTTGTTTTTGCGACATTGTTCCTGCCTTGATCATCCAGATGGTGCAGACCTGGCTGCAATTGCGCCCGCATCCCGTTGCTGCTGACTCGTGTGTTTTTAGGTACCAACTTCCAAGCTACAACACTTGTTCCCTCCCTGCTCTTCTGCACCAGTCGACACTGCGTGTTGCCGGCTATAGAGGGCTCAGCAGTTACAGTAACACAAGTATCGTCTTGGATCCAGCCCTCTGACTCGTTGCTTCCCAATATGCTCGAGCGGACATTACCGTCACGCGTCATATTTTACTGCGCCATACCAACACTCCACATTGCATCAAAGGTAACGGCCAGGCTGTGCACGACAGCTGTATATGGTATTTGCTCGAGTCATTTCTTTCGCGATGACGATTCAGACAGGTCAAACCATCAAATGGCAGGCGCGACGGACTGTCACAGACAATTGCGGGAACACTCCATGCTGGTATCAGCTTTTTGAACTCCGCTTCTGCTCCGCCTCTTGAAACAGTTCAGCCATTCAACATCTGACAGTTCAACCCACAGTCAGCAGCATCCACCCTTTCGCGATCGGAGTGCCGGTCTATTTGCGTTTGACTCGATATGGCCGTTCTCCGAGCGACCCCGAGA